CCCCGCCAGGGCCCCGCCCCCCGCTCCGGAGTCCCAGCCGGGTCCCCCCCTGCCCAGAGGGAGAAGGCCACCTCTGCTCTCCCCGAGGGTCTCCTCCCCTGACCTCCCGTCCTATGCTGTGTGACACTTTGTTAAGGACCAGACTCCTTCTGTCCCAGTCTCCTTCTCCATTTGCACCTGCCGACACTCCCTTCTCCCTCTGCAGCGAGGTATGCAGGGTGGGAGATGTTTCCCTGTGAACTTGCTTAATTCTTGTCGCCGGAGGACGAGGGAAAGGCCAGCCTGGCCTCGGTGTACAGCCTGCCCCTGTCACCTGCTAGCCTAGATCCAACAGAAGAATTCTTCCCTCTGCCCAGACAACAACACATGCCCCTCTGGACCCGCCACTTAGGCTTAGAAGACAGGGTTAAAGGATGCTAATTGCAGTCCAGTGCAGAAGGTACTAGCAGTGTTGTCCTCTTTAATACTGTTTTGGCATTAGGGCACAGAAGAGAGGAAGATAGAATTGGCACCCTGTTGTGTAGTATTTCTAATTTTATTATTACTAATCGTGAAAATGGGTATCATTGTGTATCTTAGTTACAGACTATTGGTGACATTTCCACCCTGTTATAGGAAGAATTACCATCTCCCAACCATCCACACCTGGCCTTTTATAGCCTAGGTAGATACAGAATGTGGCTGCAGCTACTTGTTTATTTCATCTCCCAAAAGACAATGGCCTCAAAGCATTTGTTATGTCTCTGTGGCAATTCTGCCCAAGTAGATGAGGTGAACGATAGACCTGGTGGCCAAGAACAGGTAAATAAATGGCTAACAAACACAGGCCATAGAATATCCACCCTGCGGGATATTGTGCAGCCATTAAATGATAACCACAAGATCTGCAGAAACATGGAAAATGTGGACAGAGTAATCTCAAGGAGAAAATCGGAGCACAGAACTGTATCAACAGTATGATTGTAATTAGGTAAAAATACATATGTATGGACATAAGAACTAGGAAAAACATGAAAAATGAACATGGTGCGCATGTTTAGTTTGTGGTGATACCTCTTCAACATATTTTATTTATGCTTGTTGAAATGCTATTTGCTCAACAAAGAAATTAGGAGAGTTTAAAAAATGTTGCTACTGCAAAATAAATGAAAGGAAAATAATTGTCATTGACAGTTAATCATTTAACAGCCTAATCACTGGCTAAATTAAAAAGCACGCAACCAACAAGAAATAACAGTGGTTGATCCAGCAAGTTTTCTACGACAAAAACACTTAGAAACCTTGCCATAAACAAATGTGCCCACGCCCTCATTTTTAACTGAGGACGATAATCTCAAATCTTTTGGAATCGAGGTTTGCCTATTTTTCCCCTGAGGGAGAAATAACTATTTATGACCTGAAAGTTGAATTAGACAAAGCCAGGTTATGTGAAAGGGGACAGTAGCAACTACTGTTATTTCGGTCCTTCAATAGCAAGGGGACTCCGTCTTCATCCTTTCCTGCCATCCCTCTCTCTCAGCTGGCCACGGCGAACTCAACTATTTTTGCCCTTATATCTGCTCTTTTTCCAAATTTGTACTAACTGGGTTTTGCAGCAATGCAATGTTGAGATAAGTGAGTTTTATTTTCTTCATCTTGGAGGACTCTGTGATTCTACTCCGGGCCATGGTGCTAATACATTTTCAGGTTTGTTTTAAGGCCAATTTTTCCAATTGGATCATTCTTTAAGGACAAGCATCTTCCACAATTTCTAGCACTGGGCAAAAAATGTAGTTAGCACTTAATGATCATTCAATGAATGGAATTAGGGGACAGAGGCATGGGGTTGAGGGCAGGGGCTGGGTGTGCTGGGGAGGAGAGCTGGGCTACTAGGGGTCTTCAAAAAGTTCATGGAAAATGTGTATTATGACAAAACTATGCATGGATTGCAAAATCTTTTGCACCAAAA